CCGTGCCAACTTGCCACGGTCAGCTGTCACCAGGCCCAGCGCAGCGAAAGACCTTACAGGCAGTCTCATCCAGCGCAGAGAGCAGGACCGCGGTGGGCTTGTAGGGGTTCTTCCTCATCTGCTGTCGGATCTCTTCCACCTTCATCTGCCAGGTCCTCTCTGCCACCGGGAGAAGCAGAGCATGACAGAAAGGGGATAAACATTGATAAAGATATATTTAAAAAACAATAAATACCTCAGGCTCGCAATCACTATTAACTTTATGGTTTTCCACATCTGCTCTGATTGTGATTACCCAGAAAGAAGTCCTGAAGGGGAAATAACCCTCTATTACTCTCAAGCTGTGCTGCTGCCCTCCCTTCTCTGCCCCATAAGGACATGATAACCTGCTGTGACAATATCCTTAAAAATGGAATGAAACATTTTTATTGCTGCAGTAATGATGCCATTCAAGGAAAAATGGATTGCCTTTATCTGTGGCCTGTTTTGTCTCCCTTCAGATAAGGAAAACACTTCAAAGAGTCAGACACACCTGTGACGCTGTCAGGCAGCTTTGTGATTGGCTCTGAAGGGGCAGCAGGGCGGTCCTTCCACACCTTGTCAATCAAGTTATAGGGCAGGGACTTCAAAACGCGATTGGCTGGGTCCAGCTTCCTGCTGTAAGCCTTCCATGTGTCTAAGGAGCAGAGAGCCAGCAAATGAAAAATAACAATTCTTAGAAGAAGAAAAAAGGCACAAATGTTAATTGTAGCATTTTTCTTACTTAAAAAGGGTGATTCTGTTTTTTTTCCACTTAAAAAAGCAATATTTCTATCATTCTTGTATTTGCCTTTAGAGACATATCAAAGACATCAAAACATAGTCAAGCATTGTTTGAGAGATCAAATCCTAAAAATCGCAGGTGCTGCTAAGATTAAATGTTTGCAATTTCAGAAACAGCAGTTCAGCGAAAATGTATTTGTTCAGCTTTTTGGCAGGAAGATTAGTTTCTCCGCATAAGGGAAGAAACAAATAAAACGACTGCAGACAAGACGCAGTTGAGGAACGAGAGAGATCTTGAAAGCACTGGTTAGAATGTATGGTTTAGTGTCCATGTTCTGCAGGAATGTGGTCCACCAATCTTCAAGACTTTCCAGGCCACGAGCTTTCACTCACTCCTGCCAAGCTCATCATTAGCTTGGCCAACCCCTCAGCACTTCTGATGTTCGGCCTGCTCCTCCTCACCTATGGAGAAGAGAAAGGGGTCGAACCCGACCTGCTCCCCCTGGGCAAGCTCTTGGATCAGCCAGTCTGCAATGCTGTCGATGTAAGCTGAAAGACACCAGCACAGCGGGCAGGGCTCAAGCAGCAGGGCAGCAGTGCAAGACCAAGAATCAAATGCCACCACAGAACCTTTTACAAACAGATTCGTTTTTACCTTCACTACAATGTTATCTACTAAGAAGGGTCTGGTTTTACAAGGAAAGTGGCCCTTTACAGCTACCAGTTTGGCTTCGCCCTGCCGGTCTGTTTTTGTAAAGGTGATAGTGCACATCTGCGACATGGTTATTCAGACATCAGAGATGTGAGACTGGGTGAGAAGTGTGTGCCTGATTCACACACACGTCACCGGGTCTCGTAGGTTCTGAATATCTTCAGTCCTCATAGCTCATACACCGAGGAGACAGGAAGGCCTGGTTCATGTGAGCGCATGTGTTTTTATGCATGGTCCTGTGCTTTAAATAGCTTCAGATCGGGACAAGTTTGTTACAATTTAAAGGAAAAGGACACTGTGAGTGAGTGCCCTCTCAATGGTCCACAAGACACCTTGATTCTGACCATGTGTGTGTGAGACATTCAGTGCCTTGGAACATCCCAATCTGCTGAATTACAACTGATCTATAAGCCTTTTTTAATCAAAGCCTGAATGCTCAAGCTACTTTCATGGGTAAAAGAGCTTAAATGCAAGAAAAATCTGCAAATGAAAACACTAAAACCACTGAATTACGCAGCCCCCTGCATGAATACTTCATGGAGTTACAGCTGCTTGTCTGGTGCAGAGTGGCCACCAGCTCTGCACACTGGGACAGGGCGGTCTGAGCCTGGCCCTGCATCTCTGCATGTGTCCAGCTCCACTCACAGGCCCTGACCAGCTCCCAGTTACAGTCCATCTGGCGCTCGGCCTGGGTCCAGTACCGGCTGTCGGTCCACAGAACCGCCTTCCCCTGCGTCACCACTGCCGTGCCTGGGGAGAGACAGCACCTGCTCTTCACCTCCTGCTTGTTGGGAAACGGACGTTTGAGGATTTCGAAAGACGAGCTGCTGGGCGGCGCAGTCTCGCGCCACTGAGAAAGCGGTCCAGTCGAGCCAGCAGATCGGGGCGGATTACCTGCGGAGCCGCTGAACCCCGAGATCCAGGTATGCCCGGCGTCTCGCTCTGCAATGTACTCGCTCTGTGAGGGGGACAGAGACACACGGGTGACTTGTTTTGCATGACAAGGCCGCTCTCACTGGCCTGTGAGCAACGGGAAGGGGGCGTGGGGCTGATTTCAATTGGTCCTGCATTCTTTCTATCGGCTGCAGGTGGTTTAAACCTGCTTCACCCCCGTAGACCCAAATGTTTATATGAAACATTTTTTTTCATGGAAAGAATAGACATTCTCTGTACATCATCAGAAGAGTTACTTTACTGACAGAAGTCAGTAATACAGTAAATAAATGCATAGATAAGGCAACTGTAGCTTTTTCTACAACAAAGCCTTTGAAAGTAGTGATAAAGTGATCAGAACTGCTTCTCTTATTGTGTTCTGGTATCATGAGCTTTAGAATATTTGGTAAATGTGGAGAAAATGTAATTCCATAAGAGAGGAATACTGGTAACCCAGCAGAGGGCGCTGTGCTCTCCAGGGAACTGCAGTGAGAGCGGTCTGCAGCTGTACCAGGTGGGCATCGGTGGCCGGAATGATGTAGGCGCGGATGTTTAGGGGCTCCATCTCCTTCCTCAGAGCCTGGAGCCTAAGCGAGGTGTTGACTGCAGTGGGAGGAAGATACTGCAACACAAAGAGAGATGGATCAGGCAGGAGAGCTTTGCTAAGTGCCCAGCACTCTTGACTCGCGTTGTCTTATCGCACCAGGGTCTGATGCACTGCTGTTCCCTGCGCTGCTGTGGTCAAGCTGTCACTTTCTCACTGATTCAAGACACCCCTTCAGTGCCACTCTTCAGGGGCCTCAGGATGCTTTTCAATCTTTTACCTCCGTACGGTTTAATAGCACTGCCTCTATACTCACAACTCTTGCTCACGGTCATATTTAATAAGGCGTGATGAACTGTGTGCTGAACATGGATTCTAACCACAGGAATGTGCCAGTTTCACACTGGGGTTTGGGGATAAATAACAGACAGAAGACACTCTCTCTTAGCCTCTCTGTGAATAAGGAGACTGTTCTCCTTGCTGGACATCTGAGGTGTAGGAGTTGATTTATTCTCTCTCCCTCCCCTGTTCTGGACATATCCTTGCCCAGACCAAGCCTGCCTCCCTGAGACTCTGTCCAAACACTCAGTCCTCAGGGAGCTGGGCTAAAGAGCTGTGGCCAAGGGATAAAACACTACGCCACTGGGGCTTTCATACAGAGGCCCTCTGACAGCACTCCTTTCTCACTGTTTGTCTTCCCAGGTGACACAATGCCGTCGAACTCGCTCTGTTTAGCCTGTAGTTTTCTGCGGACACTGCAGTTGGAGAAGTGACGGCCCAGAGATGGCTGCGGTCGTACCGGAGGTGTCGCTGAGCAGTTCCTTGCGCTGGTTTGTCCCACGCCAGGCTGGGCAGCCCCGCCGGCGTCCTGCAGCAGCCCTGCGACGGCACAAACACATGGAGGAGGACACAGTGAAACAGTGCTCCACTCCTGAGCGCCTGCAGCTTCCTGACCGGAAGCTCCCCGCCACACCTGGTCCGCTGGCCTTATCAAGGTGTGTGCACCGATACGGAGCTAGGTGACAGAGAGGCCGTGTCACAGTGACAGGCCAGCTGCGGCTTGTCCCAGGTTGCAGCCATTTTCTACTGTCAGTTAAGGGCTGGTGTATATAAGGACATGAGAAATGTACTGTACAGTAGCTGTAGATCTGGCACAGTGGAGCAGTAATAATAATAATAATAATAATAATGATAATAAATCAATACAATTGTAATTGATTATCCAAATGCCTGTGTAAACATCATTTGCAAAGTGAGTTGAGTTAAAGTAGGACTCCAGTGTTCCTGTCTTTTCTTTCCTACATGGAACTGAAACATTTCCTCTTCATATAGAATAAAAGCCATTTTATTAAGTCAGCTCTAAGAGACCAGCCTATGCACTCCAATTCCACACCCAGGTTCATCCTTCCTGATACAGGACGAAGGACAGGAGGTCACCTGCCATGACCGGCAGCGCTGAAGAGTTTCACAGGCTCGGAACTGCCCACAGGAGTGAAGAACATGCTCAACTTCCCAGGTAACCTTGATTCTGCCCAATCTAACTACGTCCACTCAAAACATTCCAATAAAGCCCAGAAGTAACATTGCTGCCAGAAAAATAAGCTGGTCTGAAGTAGTTTCTGTCCATCTGATTCAGTGTGAAACAAATGCGCACACATCAGTGATCCCCGATGAAAACATCGCACCATTACACACAGCGGTGCTGTCCAGGCTGCATGTGACTGAAGGGACCAGGCAGCTGCCTGGCAATACTGCAGCCCAAACTCAGGAGTCTCAACAGCAAGACTAACGCAAACCGTAATAGCACGTGGAAGAAAAGTAAATTGAAACTCTACCTCCTAGGGCGAAAGCCAAGAACAGGATCCCAAAACATGGAGCCATCACACGAGTCCGGCCTCTTCACAGCAGGGCCACAGCTGGGCGCGTGTAGTGTAGTCTGCCGTGCAGCAGGCTCTGGGACTCTCCAGCTTGCCTGCAGATAGGGCCACTCTCGTGTAGCAATCATGTGGATAGAATGTGGAGGGGGAGGACCTTTCCAGGATATGGGCTGGCTTCATGCTGCGTCCTTACACACTTAAGTGATACAAACTGCCCTTCTTTTAACAGCAAGCTGTTTGACTTTGAACTTGCGTTGCGTGCTGAAAATGAATTCTGCACGTGCAGTCCCAAGGTTGTCTAGCTATGGTTCACCTGCTGTTCCCTTTCCTTCAGCATTTTCTTACTCCCTTCCTGCGTCGGTGCGAGCTCTCCCTCTGGCTTCCCTATTGGCTCAGCGCTGTAAAAAGTGCAGCCAGAAGAGTGAAACAACGAGGGCTTCAGCTGCAGGAAACCACCCCTGGAAGCAACATGTCCTTGGGGACTAGCCTTCTTACTAAAGCAGTGAATGTCCAAGGCTGCTTTTGAGGAGCACGTTCAAAGCAGGCAGCAGAGGGGGCAGTCCATTTTCTACATTTTAGGAAGCCTGTGAATCTCTTATTGTCAAGAGTCAGTACAGCATGGGGTAGTCCGCTAAAATGCACAACAGCCTCAGTTAGATCGCAATGTCATGAAACTGTGGTTTCAGTTTTATGAATACCCTTGCCGCATAAGGTTGGCCCCCTACCGTCGGGGGCTCGAACCCGGGACTCCCGCGTGACTCAACAGAGACCCAGCCCGGTGAGCCAAAGAGAGATCTCTCTGAGAAGGGCGGTGACGTCACCTGCTATCGTACGCCGGCTCTGACACAGTACCTGTCGGCCGTAAGCGTTACAATACTAAAATAAAAACAACCACTCTGATGTTGGACAGGAAAGATATTAATTGTGCGACTCCGCAATGAATCTCTCAATTTATGCATTCTTTATTTTTTTAAATAACTTGTTGCACATATTCATGTTTGCTGGTTACTTCTGATTCTGAATTAGGAGGACTAATTACAGTCCAGGCCCGTGCTGTATTCCATTTCGTATCATTTTAGGTTGCATTGTTTCGCTTTGCCATGGAGCATACATCTATTGTGTACTATTGTGTATTGTGTACTTCTGAGTCCGAACACTGCGGCTCTGTCACTGCAGAATGACGGAACAACATAAAACCACTTTTACAGCACAATTAAGTCATAAATGTTATCGTGTTATACGGCCATGAACGTACTTTAGCCTCTGGGGAGACCGAGTCTGTAGTAAATTGTTTAAAAACCAGCCCAGTTAAGTAGTTCGTGGCGTTTCTAGAGGACAATATTCAGCTTCCTCTTAAAAGAAAACTCCATCTATCTATCTTTCCAGTCAGTGCTTCTGTTAGGTCTGAGCGGTGTAACTACAGCGGACAACCGTAAAAACAATTATTTACAATTATTGCAGTTTACCAGGGGAAAGTTGTGCACTTTCCTTCTCCGGTGTGCTGTGGTGGCGCCCAACTGCACCTCCAAGAGCCCGCCGCCAGCGCGTCTGCATTTCACACACTTACCACAAGAGGGGGCGCTTGCTCCACAGGAGGGAGCACAGGATATTTCACTCGCATCTGTCTAGAACTCCTGAATGCATGTATTAGGAAACCAGTCGGATACAATTTTATTATGTCTGATAAAATATTACACTTCTATCATCCAGTTATTATAATAAGCGTAATAAAAATTATTTACTTGAAATAAAAAACCGATACATTGCATTTATTTTAGCACGGTACCTTCGTGAAATATGGAAATCGTGTGTCACGAATTTCGTGCTCGTGTTTTGGCATAACAATCCCCGCAAAGAAGAAAATCTGCTTTCATTTCGGCCTGAGCACTGAGGGTCAGCGGGTTTAATTACTGTAAGTACTGTAATTGCACGCAGGAAAAATGGATGGGAAGGTGTATGTTCCGCATGGACAGCAGGGGGCGCTGTTTGATTGCGATAACTCGCTTAAAGCCAACAGCGAGCATTCAAAGCAACGCTCCCTTTGGGTTTTTTTTTAAAGCTTTGTTTTTTTTTTCTACAGCTGAGAGGCACAAACATGGAAAAGGAGAAGGAAACGTGATCCAGCCTGAGGTTGCACATGGTGCCCCAGCACAGGGTGGGGAAGAAGAGAAATCGTGCAGTTCATCATATACAGTACAGGGGCTATAGGTAACACTGGATCTGTCGTCCTAGAGTCTCTGTTTCGCAGGATTCATCAGGCGTTTGGTGCTGAAGAGATCTGAGCTGAAAGTTATGGATAGATATTAATACATGGTAGCCGTGGCAACAGCAACAGTGTGCAGAGCTGGAGACAGCGCGGCGGAGTGGACGGAGCAGTCTGCTGGGAGCACCTGGATCCGAGGCCAATCAGACACACGGCATCCAGGAGCAGCACAGCACAGCCTGGCTCGGGGTTGTATATGGGTATCGATCGAGCGGAGCAGAGAAAGTCGCCAGGAGTCCCCCCAGCCTGCGTGAGCAGGAGGCAGGAGGCATGCACGGAAAAAAAGAGAGGAGTGGGACTTCAGGAATCGACATGAGAAGTATTTCTAACAATCCCCGCATGCCCAGATGGGCAGGGCAATCAACACTCACAGAGAATCAGCTCCCAGTCATGTTTTCGAAATCATGAGCAGTGCGCTCCCAAAATAGCCAAAAAGGCCTCGGCCCGAATGTATTATGCATGGCACTGCTTCACCTCACGATGTTCCACGGCCTGTGTTTCTCACAATCCCTGCACAGACAAGCACAGGAAGCACGTCCCCTAATTCCTGTGGAGCCCATTCGGGTCGTTAGCTGTGATCGTGGGATTTGTCCTCTTTTCTGCACCTACAGCCTTCGTCCTCCCAGCGATGAGCAGGGCATGCTTCACGTGTGCTGGAGACACACAGCCACAGCGCACACAGAAACCAGCTCAGCCTGCATTGTGACAGCCTGTAAATCACAGACAGAACAACAGCAATGGGGCGCAGCAGCTCTTAACTTTCCATGGGGACGTGATTGTGAATTCCTGGCTTTGAAGTCCAAAGCATACTTGGCCTAATGCAGGCAGGCTGTAAAACAACAGTGACAATAGGAACCCTATCGCTGAGAACTGAGCGACCAGAGTCACGTAATTTAATGTGCTGTGCGATTCCGGGTCAGTAGGCTATCAAAGAATAAACACAGTATTTTACAGAGCTGAACGTTTTTCTTTCAGCACCAATGTAGGGCCTCCAGAATCTCATGGCAGGTCAAATAATTTCTCTTGGATTAGATCTAGGAGTCCTATTGGCAGGGCTGTGTTCTGTTGTTCTCCTGACCAAGTGCTAAAGCCATTTAAGTTAATGTATTTGAGATCATTTCCTTTTCTGTGGTTCGGTAACGTATTTGACTGCCACAGAGAAACGCAATTCTACAAAATGCACCAGAACTCAAATCTGATCATACCAAAGTGGAAGGGAACATTTTCCCCCATTTGCAGTATGAGCTGCATTGTATACCTTGTAATCAAACATCTTGAAGGCATTATTGTTTTGTGTGCTGATAAGATGATAGGCCAGTCAGATTCTCATCTTATTTCTTTCCCACTGCAAATGCATCATTAAGGACTATTCTCACTCTTTGATTTCTAAAGCAGCGAGCTCTCAGAGGGCTACAGCCCACAGACCTGAGAGGAGATTGGTCTGAGATACTGTAGCTGGCAGACAGTGAAGATGGATTTCATTCTGCCTGCAATTTGTGCAGTTACTTTGCACATGCAAAATAAATATTTATATAACTGATGTAACGAAGATTTGCTTGCAGGATTCTGGGTGACCTTTGGGGCAACTCCTCCTCTTCATCCAAACCTGTAACGAGATGTTCCTCCTGGTGAAACCAGTCCCATCATGCAGCAGTTCAGAACCCCCTGAAGCAGTTGTATTTGCTTGATCCTTCTTTCCAGCACGGTGACAACCTCTGAGGTCCGGACCAGTGCGCTTTCCTAGCTGCGCTATCCAAATAGGCAAGCACATCCTCTCTGAGACCTCATGTCTTACATTAAACCATTGTGACCAAAGAATATGTCCATTTACTTTTTTAAGGAAGTAATAGCTCTTAAATGAGTCCTCCCATCCAGCTCTCCCTGCTGATGTGTTGAGCTGTTAATCCTGTATTACAGTGTTTTCCTGCTCAACGGTTCAGGGCTGCTGCTCAGATGCTCTCCGAGCCGCAGCTTCTCCTTCAGCGATCACGATCACAGAAGCTGGAGTGTTTTATTTTCAAAGCCACGCAGCTCGCCTATTACCCGCATCAGTGACTTCACCCCTGATAGGAGATGCACGAGACAGATAACTTGAAAAGCTAGCGTGACCTCGCAAGAAGAGCGGCTCCTTATCATTCTGAGTGAAGCTCTGAATGAGGAAACTCCCAGCCCTCAGCCACAAGAAAGGTCTGGACTCCCACACGTGGGACACAGGAAAGACAAAACAGACTGCAGCGAGCCTGGGGGCCGGCAGCTGTCACTCTCCCGGCTGATGGATGACTTTGCTGCTTTGATGTCGCTTTCCCCCGACCGGGAGGGGTGAAGGCCGCGGAGACAGAGACTCTGTGAGCGCAGTGGGACTGCAGGGGGAGAGGGATGGCGAGGTAGGTGGACTAGGGAGCCGCTGCAGCCTGGTTTCCACTCAGGACCCAGAATCCTCTGCTGTCAGGCTGTGGCTCTGGAGCGACGACACAAGGTGCTCGGTCTGTGGATCATCCCTGAAACAAATTTCTTCTACAGTCCAAGATTTAACCCCATCTCTGTCTCAGCAATGACACTAACTTAACATTAATCCTTAAAGAAAAACTATACCCTAACCAATGATTAAACAACTTACCCTAACAGCAGTGCCTTGCCTTTTCCCTCCTCCAGTGAGCTTTCCAACAGAACTGCTAACTTGGACTCCAGATACTCCAGTAAACTCACATGGTCCACCAGTCTTTTGCACTTCTAGATCAGTGCTCCCCAGCCCTGGTCCTGTTGGAGCGCTCTGTCTGCTGGTTTTGACTCCAGGTGAGCTCTACATCTCCTCTGCTTACTGATAACTTAGACGATCTGTCTGTTTAAACTGTTGTTTACCTTGTTTCTTTGGTTAATCGCGAGTGTCAAAAATGCCCAGCTTCCAGGGCACTTTTTATTACTTACTGGCTAAACTACTCTCACTGGTCGGTCAGCTGATGATGCTGGTGAGAATGACGCTGTGTTACACTCCCTGTATGAGAGGTTT